CCTTGTCTCACAAGACTCTTAATCTCCCAGCATCACTACAGGTCACTTCGGTGCTAATTTATGATAAATTTGGGAAATCAAGTGTCCTACAGTGTATCCCTACAATATTGTGTTCTAATAATACTTTCATAGTTTTAATATCATTGCTCCTTATAGCTTTAATCTTTGTCCAGATGTTCCCCAGATTGCCTGTGCTGTACTGTTCATAGATGTCCATGCAGGTGTATTTCTTCTTGAGTTAAAGTAGGAAATAGATGAAAATTCTGGTATCCCAGTTCTTTCTGTCTTCTTTCTTTATCTTCCAGCTTTTATATGAAATAAGTGAGCATGTATTTATTTATTTTTATGTTTTGGGTTTTTGAGACAGGATTTTTCTGTGTAGCCCTGGCTGTCCTGGAACTTGCTCTGTACATCAGGCTGGCCTCGAATTCAGAGATCCTCCTGCCTCTGCCTCCCAAGTGTTATCAAAGGCATAAACCATGACAGCCTGGTAAATGAGCATGTAAGTGCCATCTATAAACTATCAACCTGTTGGCAATGAATGCTCTTGTCACTGTTATTTTCTTTTTTATGTCATATCTATTTCCCAATCACAAGTTTTATAGTTTTATCTGAACATTCTATTTCCCTATTTTCAGATCTAAATGTTAAAACAAAAATCAGATTAGCAAGTTATTTAGAAAGCCATCCTCAACCTTCATGGTACCAATTTCATCCTATCATGTTTTCTTAAACTATGCCTCAGAAAACCCACACCCATTTTTTGTTCTATTTACATGTTCACTCAGTTAGCTTTTCTTCAGCATATTGATAAGATTTTCCTTATCTTTGAAAATCCATAAATTAAAAATTAGTGAAAATGTTCCTTGTGATTCCAAGAACTCTGACTTCCCTTTTAGAATTGTATAGAAGACAGCTGCTGGAAGGTTTAAGAAATCTCTGGATTCAACTGTGACAAGCCACACATGCTTCTATGAAAGGAATATGCCTTTCAACTTTCCTGTCAAACCTGAAGCAGAATGTTCTCTGGAGAATGTGAGAGTTGGCCCAGAACAAGTGGGAGAAACTCTGATTAGATGACTAACTGTAGAATGTTCCTTAAAAAACTGTACTCTGTGCAGAGCACACATTAATGCTCTAGGCTTGATCTTGTTTCTGAGCAGAACACCTGTTTTCTCATTTTCCAAGTTCCTGGGTTTTGTGATTTTGTTCCACGTATACTTTTCTAGATCTTTCTGAGACACTTGATTTCAGATATTTTATCCCACTATTCCCATATGTATTTTTGTCTTTCTCATACCAATTGTCTCAAATTACAATTGGAAAAAATACATTTACAAACCAAACATGATGTCACAAGTCTATAACCAACCATTTGAGAGGGAGTGGCAGGGTGGCAAGTTCGAGGCCAGCTTGTGCTACATACTGAGACTTTATCTAAAACAACAACAACAACAAAAAAAAACCCTACAATTATTATAAAGCAAGCCAAAAGACAACCATGAACTAATACACCTGATGTTTATAAAGCATCTACCAATCAGTTACTGTTTGGGGTTTCAGAAAGCACTGACAGACTTTTGAGGACTCACATTACTACTCAAGACTCTTCTTAAACAGATAGTATATGTGAAGGAAACTACCCAAATAACCATATCTAGTAGATGAAAATAGACACCTAGCAGACATCTGTAGATGGGTTTTAACACAGTACTCTTGATCTGGTTTTAAACCAAAACTATAACTTAAATAGCAGGCAAGATGATGTGCACCTTTAATCCCAACACTTGAAAGACTGGGACCAGCCTAGCCTATAGCCAAGGCCAGCCTGGTGTAAACCCAGGGCTACACAGAGAGACCCAGTCTTTATATATATATATAAGCTAGGAATTCTAAATTGAGATACTTTTTTGATTATCTGCCTAAAACCACAAGTCCTTTAATGTTGCACTAAAACTCTGTTTATTTAAATATTCAGGTATTTTGTGTCATTTCTGTTAAAGTTAAAAACTGATTTTCTGAAAGATTTTTCCTGTTTCTGATTTTCTTTCCCAGAATTGGGAAATGTTAAAAAGAACTAGTCCAGGGTAAGGAATACTCTTCCTACATGTCTATTTTTCCTAAAATTCTTCAGAGAGATGAAAAATACGTTTCAGCATATTATGTTTCATTCATTGATCCTTGGGAAAGAAGAAAGCAAATATATATTACTATCTTGTGTTAATGATCTGTTTCTCCTCCAATTAGAAGGGCCAGGTCACTTTGTTTTGTGTCGGAAAAAACAAAACAAAACAAACAAACAAACAAAAACAAACTTGAATGTGTTTTTTTGGGTGAGTTGTTGCCATGGTAGCACTAATCCTGGGTCTCTCTCTCTCTCTGTCTGTCTCTGTCTCTCTCTCTCTCTCTCTCTGTGTGTGTGTGTGTGTGTGTGTGTGTGTGTGTGTGTGTGTTGTGTGTGTGTGTGTTAACTTGCAGATATCATGATAGAGGAAACCAGTTTTGGGAAAAGTTATGCACAGCTGAATTTCGAGAGCTCTATGCTCTGGGCAGCATCCATAATGACCTCTATGTCATAGGAGGACAGATGAAAATTAAAAACCAGTACCTCATTACAAACTGTGTTGATAAGTACTCCATAGATCAAGACACCTGGAAACGAGTGTGCCCCCTTCCACTGCAGTTGGCTTGTCATGCTGTGGTGACCGTGAACAATAAACTGTATGTCATCGGCGGTTGGACCCCTCAGGTTAAGAAATTCCTTGTATACCTACCTGGCATGGCTGGCTTTGCTGAAAAAATGTAGCAGCTCTTGAGTACTAAAAGATTATGGCTTACATTTTGGCAAAATGCTTTTTACACCATGTAATATAAACTTAAGTCTTGAAAGTGTCAAACAGTTTTAGAAAATTGATTTTTAAATGTGTTATTTATAGACATGGGTGCATTTAGTATTCATGGTATGCTATGAACTTTGTAATTCTTCCCCAACTGGCTGATTAGAAAAGATCCCTGTGCCAACGGATAGCTGTAGTGAGCATCTAAGTAAAAGGAACAACTGAATCCTCATTCCAGTCCTGCTATCTGATGGGTTAGTGTGGCCAGTGACCAGGCATTCATAGGTCTTTCTTGCTGCAGGGACTGGGGAAATGATTCAGTTTGGAAGATGCTTGTTGTGAAAGCATGAGAACCTGATTCTTAGCACCCATGTAACTGCCTGTAATCCCAGCACTGAGGAGAGAGAGACAGAAGGATGCTAGGGGCATGCTAGCTACCCAGTCTAATCAAATTGACAAACTCCTGATTTGGTGAGCTACCTTGTCACAAAAACATAAGATAGACTCTCCTGAAGAACACCTAGGCATAACATCTGGCCTTCATATGCATATGTACATGGACACCCACATTCACCACGAGTAAGCACAAACACACACAGAGGTTCTTACCACAAATGGAGAACCAGAATATTGATTCTGTAGTGGCACCATCATTTCCAAGAGAGTATGTTGTAACTATAAACACCAAGTGTCTTTGCTAGGCATCAGCAATATCAACAGACTACGATTGATAGTGAAGCCCAGAGAAGTGATGGCAAGCCAGTGCAGAGGTCAGCAGTGTGGCGGCAGTGTCTTTTGGAGGGCCTTCCTGGGCTTTTGGCATTCACAGTGGTATCTTTTCAACTGTCCTCTGCTCCTGCCTTCCTGTTTTTTCCACTACAGATTATTCTCACTCCTTGGCTATCCCTGTGATATAAATTTATCTTTCCTTATTTTCTCTTACCAGATTTACCTCATGATAAAACTCATATTTTTGCATTCTCTTCATAAGTTTGGAAAACTTTATTCTTAATACTTTATAATATTTCTATTCTGGCTGTAGATCAAGCATAGTACATATTTTATCAAAGTGAGTAGCTAGAACTTGACATTATCTGTAGTTACATTTTCCAAAACTATCCACCTTCACAGTGAATGTGCATGAGCAAGCCCTCAAAACAATAGGAAGCTTTGCTTTACTAACATAGAGATTAAATACCTAAAATAGAAGGAAAGTAAGCTATAAGGAAAATATTTGCTAATTTGTAGTCTCTGAATGAGTATTGTGTAATGAGGCAATGTCACTGAGCTTTGGACACAGCACATGAAACTGGCCTTTGAGTGCCCATGATGTCATCATCCCTGGCACTGTTAAAGGCCTGGACTAAAGTGAAGTGCATGGAACATTCCTAGGGGTGGAATTATTTCTTTGTTGAAAACTTAGACCCCAAAAAAGACACATCAATTCTTAGCCCACATTTGTTATAAAGTTCCAGATATCATAAATAAAAATAATATTACTTTACCCTAAGTTTATGGGTAGAATCTGCTTGTGTCTATGTAAGAATAAAATTATTCAATTTTTACTCTATAATAATTAAATAAATATACAAATATATAAGTGAATATAAACATAACTTGAAGTAATTTATGCTAATCCTATTATCTTGAAAATTGCAATCAGGTTATTTACATATAACTCATAATTGTGGTCTGAATTCTCTAATTACGAAAATAATAAAAGTTTTTGAAATTTTTATAGGTTAGAAAAATATAAAGACAATGCCTTATGAATTATTAAATTTAGTTCTCTATGAATAGTGTTAAAATTCGTAACTATGAAGTGTGTAAGGTTAGGGTTTTCTTTGCAGACTGCTCAAGAGAACATGCTTTGCTTTTTTTTTTTTTTTAAAGACTTTGTAGTTGTTTCATTTTTTGGTGTCTAAGTGTGAGAATGACTGATTGCTGTAAACTAGCATGTTAGCCCATTGCACCTATAAATCCCTCTGATGTTGACACAGTACTGACAACCCCAAGTCTCAGGACTTAGCAAGTCTGTGAGTCTAAGTGAGACAGTTAACCCCCATTCATCTCCCCTGCTGTCTGCTTTGATTAATTGTGTTCACATGCTCACAAAGGCCTCTAAGTGGTCTGTTGTTACATTCACTGTCATATTTCATACAGATGGATCTTCCTGATGAAGAGCCTGATCGATTAAGCAACAAACTGTTGCAGTACGACCCCAGCCAAGATCAATGGCGAGAGCGGGCACCCATGCAATACTCTAAGTACCGGTTCAGTGCAGCTGTCGTCAACGGTGAGATCTATGTTCTGGGTAAGTAGTGGATTGCGCAGAGCATAGCCACTTTCATTCCTTCAGCAGTTTACTCCTGTAAAAACAAAAGTTTCCCTTTTTCTTGTGTCTCAGTTCAAATATAGATGCATCACTGGCCAAGTGGTATTTCTTATTTCCTGGAGTACAAGCCAATTCAGATTAAGTCAAAGTGCATTGGCTTTGAGGGCATATTTCTATGGCATCTTAAGGGCATTGGAATGCAAAAGTGGCAGTGGTCTGCCGCTGATGAAGTAGAAGTCTTTGTCCATTTTTAGTCTGTGAAATGTGGGGTTTTGCAGCCAACTGTGGTTGTGTTGTTAAAGAAAAAGCCACAGCATGGTAGACTATGCCAGATTTTGCCAGTTCTCTTTATTTTGCCTAACCCTCCAAATTTTTAAAGGCACACTACCAAGTAACTTTTCCATAACTGCATTCCTCCTTCCTCTCTTGAATATGTGTGGTCAGTACTAAACCGCAGGGGCTGGTGAAAGACTACAGCTCACTGGAAATTCCAACAGTCAAGAATCCCAGACATCTCCTGTAGGTCCCCTCATCTCCTCACTCCCTGCTTCTGATGGTCTTCGTCTTCAGAGTGTGTTCTCTCTGACCTCACCTTCTGTCACCCCACCTCTCCAGAGTATGGGCAGAGTGGGCCATGAGGCTGACTGGCCTGCTCAGTTCTCAGTCCTCCCACCCACAGGAGTGGCTGACTGCAAAACAGGGAGGTGAAGTGATAAAGAAATATGAGCTCTGGGTGAGAGCAAACCAGGCAACTAATGGAGACGATTTAAAAAAAATCATGAAATGGAGGCTGTTATCTTAGGCAGTTTTCACAGCATGAAGCGAAGCAATTCATATGCTCAAATATTAAAATTGTTTTATTTAAGAACAATTGTGCAACATAATTTATGATTGCCTCAGTTAAGAGACTCACAATTATAATTAAGTTTTTCCTCTAGATAAATATCCCTTTCTTTGTTATAACTAGAATGAGAGCTCCCTCTAACAAGGAGCCTCAACTGAGCTAGATGTGTAATAAAAATGATAATGCCTTTTGGATCACTGTGTGGGAAAGGGCCCCTTAGAGGTAACCTTAGAAGCCCACTCTTCATAGAATGGACAAATGTTCACTGGGAGAACAAAAGGTAAATTTAAAGGGACCTACAGCATTTATACTGGTGGGGGAAAAAAGAGTATCTGTACTGTGCTTCAGGAGCAGAAGCAGGAAGATCTGGGGACGAGTGGCAGAGCAGGAGCTTGGGGTGAGAATGAGGGAGCTGGAAAAGACTACAAGAGAAGCGGGAACAAGAAAGGCCCGGTGTGGAGGGAGCTGAGACAGGGTGCAGGCCCCTTGCTTTTCCTGTCACAGTGACAAAATACTTCACAGGAGCACTTGAAAGGAGGGAGGGATTCCATTGCACTGTAGAAGGTACATAGAGCAGTCTGTGGCAGTGGACAGTTCACATGGCATGAGCCAGGAAGCAAAAATGCAGCAAGAGCCAGAGTGGGTATGACCTTCCAAGTCCCACCCCAAGTAATCTACTTCAAGTAGGCAGACCTGCCTCCTAAAGGCCCACACCCTAAAGACCCCATAGCACTACAAGCTGGGGGTCAGGCATTCAAATTGTGAGCCCGGGGTGAACATTTCAAATCGAAACCGTATCAACTAGGAACCACATTATGAAGGCCATGGATGAAGACTAAGAAAGCATAGTAAAGTCGGGCGGTGGTGCTGCACTCCTTTAATCTGAGCACTCAGGAGGCAGAGGCAGGTTGATGACGTGAGTTCCAGACCACCCTGGTCTACAGAGTGAGCTCCAGGATAGCCTGGGCCTCAAATAGAAACCATGTCTCAGAAAAAAATAAAAATAAAAGGAAAAGAAAGAAAAGAAAACATAATGAGCAATGGAAAACCACACAGAAGCAAGTTGATTAAAGGGTGTTTGGGGAGATCAAAGGCCAGGAGAGGCTGGAAGTGGGGAGAACAACTAATAACTTAGACTCTTGCTTCTAGATTCCCAGAACTAGGAACCAGGTTCATGATTGTCCCAGTAAGCTTTGTCATATGTAAAATTCACGCCAAGGTCACCTTGGTCAACATTTGTGCTTAATCCTAAACTTGGATGTGATGTGAAACTAAGTTGTTTCATTTCTGTAGTCTTAGTTCATAGTTTGTTGTTCACTGTGTATGTAATTGGAATTGAGGTAAATACACACAACCCTAAAATTGTTGGTTTGAATAACTCATAGACACCTTGCAATTGTCTTTGGACTGTCTGCTTTAGGATAGCTACATGTACTCCACTGTGCTTGGAGCAGCAGGTGGCACCTCCTCAACAGAGAGGCAGCAGTATGTTAACATGAGAAGGGCTCCAGCACCAGAGTTGAGAACTAAAATCTTGGTGTCATCATTGACTCAGATCTAGCAAATATTTTATCATTGTAAGATTAGTTATAACAGTTAAGTAAGATGTATGTCAGGTACCTGCATTATAAGATAAGCATAACAGCTTTCCAATGAGCCCCTTGATGTTATAGACGGTTCTCATGAGGATCTGCACTATCCTCCAAAATCTCAGAAGTTGAAGCCCTAGCCACCAACCTATAGTGCTAGTATGAAATAATAGAAATACCAGAAGGCAGGGCCTAGTGGAAGGAAGTTACATCATTAGGCTTTGGTGTCCAAGGGCTTGACTAGAAAGTATATTCCCAGGCAAATTCTAACTAAATGATCACATTTAGTTAGACCTTTAAACAACAATAATAAAAATCTAGTTTCTACCTGAGGCAAATGGAGCAAGCACAGTCACCCTGTCTTCCCACTGAACAATGCTGCAGAATATGGCCAGCATGCCTGCAAAAGACATTTGTGATCTGTGCATCAGGAAGGAGCATTGGAGCTGCTGTGGCACTCAGTGTTTCCCTCCTGTGTCCCCTGACCTGTGTGAGCCAGAACCCACAAGTACATACTGTGCAGACGGAGCTCTGAGAGGATCCATGCAGTTCTGGCCCAAGTCCCTGGAAAGGCAACATATTCTCAGAATGAGTCTCACCCTACTCTTCCTGTCTTTGTCTGTCTCCCTCCACCCTCCCCTGCTCTCTTGCCATTCAGGCCAATCACAGCTGGGTGTGGCTGAATGGGTTGACTAGAACCCCAGGTTTCTAGCCGGAAGTACAGGGAGAAACTGGAGATGTCAGCCTCATGAAGTCTTGTGTCATATACTCCGAAGCTCACCACAGGTCATGCCTGCTTTAACGTTCTCATACTACAGACACTGAGAATTAAAATGACAGATGGCACAGCTTAGGCCTCAGCTGATTTACCCAAGTGATGAACTAGAAAGCATCGAAGAGCACTGCACACGCTTGAACTCTAAGCTGACACTAGAATGACAGTGCACAGAAGGCAGATGGAACCTTGCATCCTGCCCATGACCAGTTTAAAGTAGAAGGGTCACAAGGAGGGGAAGGAGGGAGAACACAAGAGAAGGGAGAGAGGAGAGGAGACCATTGTTGTCTCTAGGATTTAAATAAGCACCAGAGTGTTATGATCAAAATACCCAGGGCACAATCTATTCTTATTCTGGAGACCAAAAAAAGAAAAACAAAACAAGCAAAAAAACAAAACAACAACAACAACAAAACAAAACAAAACAAAAAAAACCCCTGGAAAATCTTGTATCACTTGGAAAAAAGCAGCAGTAATGACAGAAAAGGCATAAATACATGAGTCATCATCATTTTTCACCCTCTGGCTGTCCTAGAACTCATTTTGAAGACCTTGAACTCACAGAGATATGCCTGTCTCTGCCTCTGGAGTGCTCAGACTAAAGGTGTGTGCCACCATGCCAGGCATGAGTCATCTTTCAAAAACCTTGAAGCAGTTACTCTAAAATACTAAAATATACATGTGTATATGTGTATTTATGTATAATGAAATTCTTGAAATAAATACTAAAAATAGAAAGACCTCAGCAAAGAAATAGAAAATACAAAGAAAAACAAAAGTGGAAAATTTTAAACAGAAAATAGTATTCCACAAATCAAGAACTTCAGGGGATGGATACAAAAGCTGAAAGTAGATGATGGGAAAGAGTCAGCGAATGCACAGACTCATGGTAGAAGCTAGAGTCTGAGTGACAGAGGAAAGTATTAAAATCTGAAGAGCTGCAGAGCAACTATAAAGGGCCTCCTAGTTATGTCTCTGGGATCCCAAATACCAAAAGTGTGGGCCCTCCAAATCACTTAATAATGCCTTAAGAGCTTCCAACTTTGTTTAAAGTTGCAAATTCATGGACTCAAGAAGTTGAACCAACTCCAAATGGAATAAATCCACAAAACCCACACCTGTCTCACGTTGCCAACTAGCAGCAGAAAACAAAAGGAGAAAAAAGCAAACAGGTAAAAACAAAATCCCTGAATTATCTACAGGGGAACACAGGCTGGATGACCACAGATTTCAGCCCAGAAACCAGGAAGAGCTAGGAGTTGGGCAAACACAGCTAACATGCTAACAGAGAACCATCAATCTAGAATTCTGCATTTCCCCAAAAGCCTCCTTCATGAGTGGGTATAAATTAACTTATTCAAAGATAAATGAAAGTTGAGACCCTGAATATGAATGTGTCTGCTAGGGGGAGTGGTTCAGACAGAAAGAAAAAAATGTCAAGTGAAAACACAGAACACTAGGATGGAATGAGCTCAGCAGAGATGGCGATGTCTAGACAAATGGAATGTTCTGCCCTGGAGTTCTTAAAAATATGTTTGCAGATTGAAAGTAAAAATTATTATATTTTACAGTTTTCAGTGTATATAGATGTGAAAATGTGACAGATTTATAAACCATAAAAAGAGAATGCATGAGGGACCTGTAAAGCACTGATTCTTAGGAGACTGTGAAATATTAAGTACCTATTTTTCTGAGTGCTGTGTCTCACACCTGTAATCCTCAAACTTTGAAAGCTGGGGCAAGAGGATTGCTACAAGTTCAGTTGAAACCA